TATAAGATTTAGTTTGCAGTCAATTTGACTATCTTTAAAAAGTTAGTTAACTTGGTTGATTATATTGTCTCTGATTTTTTAATATAAAAGAGTTAAATAATTAATTTTTTAATATTAAAAAAATTAATTAAATTAGTTTTTATAATAAATAGGTATTGTTTTTTTTTCTAAAACACAATTCTTAATCATATGCATTAAATGAAAATCTTTAACATGTGTAATCACCATGGTGCCTACTTTGGGAAAAATGAATTAAATATGGAAGATAGAATTGATTAGAATGTTATATTTAGGATCAAAATTGAATCTCCAACTAACTGTTATACTTAGTACCTAGGGTAGCTAGTAATTAATATGGCATGTTCTTCCAAAAATGTTGTTATTTATCTATTTATTTAAAAAATGGCATTTGAAAACACAGCTAATTAAGGGCGCACATGTATTAATGAGCAAAATTCATGTGTGTGGAGCATTGATGAGCAGCTTTAGAGAATATGCAGGTGCATTGTACGATTAATTTTTTTTAATATTTAATTATTATTGAAAGAGTATTAATATGAGTAACTTAATAAAAAATAATAAATATGGGAAATAGCTACCCTCAATAACGTCCTACCTTGAGAATGAGAGGAATAATAAAAGTTCAAACATCTAAAAATATATATATCATTTTCAATCATTATTCAATAGCCCAGAAAAACAACTGAAGCTGAGGATAATTATTACGGCGGTTTGTTTCCTGGGATTCCATTTAGTTATTCCAGACGTTAAATTTTCACCTGGGATTATTATCACAATGCCAAGGTAACACACACAGACAATACATAAATATAAGTACATAACAATATATATAACTAAATTTAAGAGATGAACAATTATGATCAGGGGAAGTTATATTATAAAATTATAAAAAAAGGGATTCTTTAATTAAGATATTATTCCTATAATTTATTTTATAACAACTATATAGTACAATTATATTTTACTTAAACTTAAAACAATAATTAATGAGAGTAATTGTTTTTTCGGACATATTGCTTTTTGTATCCGGCAATCTTTCTTCTTCTTCTTGTTTCCGTTTTGACTTATACATCACTTGTATTCTTCTTTGTCCTTTGCTTTTATTCTAATCTTCTCAGTGTATGCTTCTTTATTCTTCGGTATTATATTCTTTTTAAAAAAATTTAAGAGACATAATTCTTTTTGTACCCAGCCATCTTGTTTTTTTGGCTTACACATCACTTGTAACCTTGTTTGTGCTTTGCTTTTATTTTAATCTTCTCAGTATGTGTGCTTCTTTATTCTTTCATTATATTCTGTTTTTCTTTCTAACTTTTTTATTAGGTACATAGATCCTTTTGTATCCAGCAATCTTTCTTTTTTTTTTTTAATTTTTTTGGCTTACCTATATCACTTGTATTCTATGTGCTTTGCTTTTATTCTAATCCTCTCGGTGTGTGCTTCTTTATTCTTTGATTAAATTCTGTTAACCTCTTTTGCTAGCTTATGAATCATTCTTTTCTTGGTCCCAATAAAAAACGGACTCTTGTTTGTGGCCTCTACGACAACATAATTATTATGAACCATTAAAAACTGAAGACTTTTATCACCTACTCTCGTGTGGTTCTATATGTAATGATGATGATGATTGAACGTGAGAACCACTAATACAAAAAAAAGAGCTTTCATGATCATTTGTGACGGTTATCAGGCAAAAGACTGTAAAAATAAAATAGCAATAACATTTTTGTAATTATATGGAACTAAATTTTATTTTTCACGGTGGTTATTTTCTACGGCCATTTTTTAAAAAACCATAATGAAAAGTCTTTTTTACAGTGATTTTTTTTTAAAAAAAAAACGTTTTACCAACTTTGTCAGAATTTTAAAACCATTTTCATCAAGTGATAGTGTTTTACTTTTCACAGTCAAAGATCTTGGTCTTCCATTATCGTTCCCACTAGATTTTCTTCCTCCTCCCATCTTTGTTGGCATTTTTTCCTTGCTTCTGTCATCTTTGTCATGTTCTTCCATCTACATCGCCATTGCATAATCTTCTTCATTTTTATTTGTGAGTTTTTTTGTCATTTCTCTTCCATTCATTTCATGGGTTTCATAGTTTTTTGTGGCTTGGTTGTTTGAGATGTGGGTAGTGTTTTCTTTGATTAAAACATGATGTTTGTTTTGAGTTTGAATAAATTTGGCTTTTATTATTCTCTTTGCTTAAACATACTTTGATACATGAAAGCTTAAATAGATCTAAATTTTATTCTCCTCATTTTGTAGATCTGAGTTTGACAGCCTTAAGTTTACAAATTTTGTTAGATCTGTGTGTTTGATCTTATCTTCATCAAGTCTTGGCAGCTTTGATCTAGTAGTTGAAGGCTTCGATGTTCTACTGATAGTGAATGGCTTTAGGTCTTGGGCAAAGTGAGAGAAGAAGAATTCAATAAAGCATAAATAAATTTTTCACGGTCATTATTCACATAGCCGTCGTGAAAAGTCACATACCACGGCCGTTTTTAAACCTCCATGAAATTCTTGATTTTTTAAAGTTGATGACATAGATATGTTGCACCCAAAACCATTGTGAAAAACTTATTTTAACTGCCATAAAATATCTCTTTTGCAGTAGTGAAGTCAAGAATAAGAATATTCAAAAAGACGATGATAAAATTAATTAAGAACCTTCATAACTACCAGACGCTTAGTCCAACTCGATATATAACTTAACAAGAAGTCTCAAGTTTAACTTCTAAAAATGCAGCAATGTTGTGTTTATCTAACTCTAAAAGATAGAATATATATGAGTATGTATACTACCTCCAGCATTAAATATAAGAGTTAGCTAGAAATTCAATTTGGTCCTAAAGATACAAGACCTCAATGCACTTTTTCTCCCATATTTATTCTTTTTTTTTTCCCAAAATAGTAGTCCCCATAATATTTATAGGAATTAACCATCAAGTTATTACTTCATTTTAATTTTAATCTGTATATTAATTTTTTGTCACCGTCCATTCAATTAAAGGAATTCAGGCATTCATTACATTCATAAAAGTTTAAACTCGTAATTTAGTGACAACGTTGTTGCCTTAATATCTAAAACACTCATCACAGGCAGCGATCAACTTTGTTTACAACAAACCCAACTATATTCCAAAGGCTCCTATTACCGTACATGGTTTGTCGTAGGATGCCAATAAGCTATAGACGAGCGTTCAAGCAACCTTTATTACAAAATTACAACTTCTGATTTAAATAAAAGTTTTTTCTATTTTCCAACAAAGCAGCGCATCTCCAGTAGTCTAACACCGCATCTTCATCTACAACGGTGTAAAAGAGGCGCTATGAAGATGATATGCATCTTGCAACAGCAGGAAATATAACCCCAAAATGTAAGTTCTTTATACAAAAGGCATTTTGCAAAATGTTACCGCTAAAGTCAATTTTTTTGTGGTGTAACCGCAAAAATCTCGGTTTCATCAACTGAAAGTTATAACGTACAGCTTAACGAGAAATCCCAATAAGAAGAAATTAAAAAGATTACTATTATTTTATGGGTGGCCGAGAAATGAGTGAATCCATCTAACTCTAAAAGGCATGGGATATAATTTCTTTATAGCCATGAAAATTCAATGTAACTTATTCTTTCATTAGGGGAGTTTGAAAATGATAATTAAAACTTAAGGTTCTTGTCTCCAGGTTTTAACATCTTGGCGGCCTTTTATGAAAGTTAACATAGGGAGCGTGATTTATGTTGATCTGGAGAGATCAGGATACAGACCTGATCAAAGGAAGATGCGGGGTTAGACTGGAGAAGCATTGGTTTTCTGCAGGAAAATATACATCCTTAGCTTGAGGAAATCTGTTACGAATTATCCCTTTGTTTGGAATCGCAGTAAACTGGCTGGCCAGGCCATCCTTTAAAGGTTTTGATTATTCTTTGCCACCACCTCATCAATTGTTGTTGCTGCCATGTTTCTGCTTTAAATCATGTTGCTTGCCTTTTGTTACATGTTGGCTTTATTTTCGATTTGCTGGTACTCATCTTTTCAGACTCTCGGGTTGTGAACAACAGGGCTAGATTACTATTTGGAAAAAGCATAAGAAAATACTGCATCAACTCTAGGGCTTCCATTGGTATCATGCTATAGTAGATATCCTCTTCTTCCTATCAAGAACACAAACTATGGATGCTAATTTCCATGACATAAATGAATAATGCTAATATATCTGCACCATTGTTTTTTTTTTTTCTCGTTTATTTACGGTTACAACAATGAAATATCAACGAGGCATATTAGGACAGACCGGTGGTAGTAGTGGTAGAGAGAGTAAGATTTTTTGATGGTCCCTCGAGCTGTCAGAGCTTGTAATAGGGAGTCATTATAATTAATTTCTGTCTCTTTGAATCATATTGAATAATAGTAGCTATAACTTGATACTGCTAGTTCATGTTTTTTTTTTTTGGGGGCTATATCAGTTACTAATTATGAGACAATATCAGTTGCCAAATACAATTAGACAAAGCACACAAAGATCACATTTTTACCAGTATTCCACGTACAGAAGAGACACACAAGATTACAAGCCATACATCTGCCAACCATCTTGTACAAACTAGTCCCACGACAATGCATCAGGTGAATATACACACACACGACATTATTTAATAGACACCAGACAATTAAATATACTTAATATGTGTTTCTCTATCCTGGCATACTAATAACAACCATGTACTTCATTTAGATTATGGGGTGCTAGAAGTACTGGAACTTTTGTCGTTGGCATCAATTTTCACCTCAGCTATCTCTGCAAAGAGAAGAAAGGGATAATAGGAAATACACCGAAGAAATGGTACGGTTGAATAGGAGGGTAGAAAGAGGAGGGCATACAAGAACACAACCATGAAGATCAAAACCACACTCAACACCAAGAATGTGGTAGCCAACCAGCTTAGTTTGCTAACTGCAAGATACACGCCTGCCAAAAATGCCAAGGATAAAGCCATTAAAGAAATACCTAGAATTGGCATTGCGCACTTGAGAGCAAAATGGATTAAATGCAGCTCATTTAAACGAGCCCACGTGAGAATTATAGTTGTAATAATAGCCCCAAATACTGAGATTGTGAGGGAGAGAATGAACAAATGGAACATGACACGTTTCAACATAGTAGCTGTTCCATGATCTACGCCTCCCGGCATGGCAAACCCGGCAGCAAAGGATGCTGTTATTATAAGGGTTGAAACCAATATCAAAGTGTCAATTCTATCTTTGTATTGTCCAGTAGTGTTGCGGGATTCTTTCTCTTTACTAGATGATTCTGTGTCATTTGAACGGGACGTGAACCCAACAAAACTTCGAGGCGTACCAGCAGATTGCAATGCAATCCATGTAAGTCTCTACAAACAAACACTTCCATTTTGGTTACAACAACATTAAATCTTTGAAAAAGAATTGTGATTTTTTTGGGGAAAGAACGAACTGTAACTTACCTGTGCAAGGGATGGACTTGGGTCATGCATTTGGTCAGCAATGTCTAGAGCTGTTTGATTTTCATGGTTAAGTATAGCCAAATTGGCTCTATTGTCCCAAGTCAAGGAATGTACAATTTTGGGATGCCAGTTTAGGGTGGCCAGATGTAAAGGAGTATTCCCATCATTATCCCTCTGATTTATCATAAACTCAAGCTTTGGATGTTGGAGGATGTACCTAACCATCTCATATTTTCCACTTTTAGCAGCAGCATGGAGCAAAGTTCGGCCATTTTTGTCAAGCATCTCTTTAAGATCTGGGTAGTGTTTTAGTAGCTGTTCAACTAGCTCTTCAACTACTTTGACATGACCTCCACTACATGCCAAATGAATGGGGAAGAAGCCATCGTTGTCCCTTTCCATGGTGCATGAAGGACATCTTTTTACCAAGAAGGAGACACCTTCACGGTACCCCATAGACGCCGCCTGATGAAGAGGAAGGCTTCCTTTTTCATTTCTCAAGTGTATCCAATTTTGCTTTTTGCACAGAATGGTTTGCAGCATAACTACATAGACCAGCAGTATAATCAAAACGATTTTTATTCAGTAAGAATGTTTTAGCAACATGCATGGTGAATAAATGAGTGCATGATGATTGTGTGACAAGATATATATATATATATTTATAATTACCCATATTTCTCTTGGTGAGTGTTGGAAGAAGGGGAGACTTTCCTTGAGGCTTGAGGTCATATTGGATGCAGATATCCAACAGTCGATCAACAACTTGCTTGCAACCAACCTCAATGGCTACATAGAGCAATGATTCCCCTCTCCCGTTGATTGCAAATACAACCAAACTATTAACAATTTTCTTAAACTCAACCTCTCCAACTCTGAATTGTCTCTCATAAAAGAATCTTCAAAAGCGTTGAAAATCAGAGCCCCAGCATGCGCATTAACCATAAATGCCTCGTGAAGAAAAGTGTTTCCTTGTTTATTCCGTAACAAGGTCAAAGACACCAAGAGCATCATATGTAGAGTAGGTTGATCTTGATGATGACCATCTGTCTCACGTCTTACCAAAGTCAACCAAGTATTCAAGAGATTTTGAATGGTAGAGGCATGGCCTGCTCTTGCAGCAGCATGCAATGCAGAATCATGATTGTTGTTGGTCACTGTAAAAAGAGAGGGAGCTTGCTCAGCCACCTTCTCTACCATTGCATTATTTCCATATGCAGCTGCTAAGTGTAGGACAGTATTTCCCAAAGGGGTTCGTTGTTTATAAATAGCATCGCCAGGTACAATGAAAACTCTATTTGGAGGGGAAACATCGGAACCCACGGAAGCATATGCAGCTGCAAGCAATTTTGAATCTGTATTGGGTCCATGTTCTTGCACCACTAACTTGGGCTTCGAACCTGATGGTGAAAAGTTCCTGGGCTGCCGTGCTTGCATCTCTTTCATTTTAATGTCCACCACTGCGATCTTTTTATCTATCTCGGGCGGCATTTTCTCAAATGCTTTGAACTCAATAGTTACGGCAGATGGTTCGCTTGATGATGAGAAGACATATTTCCGGCTGTTAACTAAAAAAAATGATGATACGTTTGATTGAACTAGTGTTTGAATCTCTGTATATAGTATAAGAATTATTAATGGCAAAAAAACACAATGAAGGAGTTCGACATACCGTGGTTCCTTTCATTGGTAGGTTTTGGCGGCCATGAGAAGAAAACATACCCTTGAAAGAAACCTGACATGTATATATACACACATATTTGTTTGCTTGCATATGAATCTTTATGATTTCACTTTGACTAATTATGAATACAAGGCAAGAATATTGATTCATTTTGAGTGATTATTGTAAAACAAATACCAATATCATTTTCATTTCCAGTGATTGTTCTTGAATATGTTATCTCCAGCACGGGTTCCAATCGGTCCTCTTGCATCTCAGGTAGAAGCCAAGTTACTCCATCTCCTCCTCAAATGGAAAAAATAAATAAATCAATTATATAAGTTAATAAACTTTGTGGATTAAGTTCCTCTAAAGTCGTTTTAGCATATAATAATATTTGCATGGATTGAATATATATTTTCTAAAAACATGTGCACTGTGTGATTAATTTATATTGATTACAGGTATAATTAAATTCAAGAAATTATGTATACTCTAAATGTGTTAAACTTTAATCACATAAATTCTTCTTCCATTCACAGAAAAAATATATAAAATGACCCGTTTTCAATAATAAAGGAAGTAGAAATAGAACTATAAATGACATATTACTTTTTTGGTCCTGAGAATATTTTTCTTTTATTAATGTAAATAAACTTATTAAATTTATTATATAAATGTATAATTTTACTTTTAATTTATTTTTATATTTGTAAACTGTCATTTTTTTCAAAAATATATATTAGATATGGATAAAATTGTGAAGTCATTAAATATTTAACATGAAGTCATATAAGATTTAAAGGTTTTTCTTAGTTTCGATGAAATATGTTGGAAATATTTTATAAACAAGATCAAAGAAATAATTGAGTTCCCAACAACAACTTATTTCATATATTTCATCCTCTTATTTTTTTAATAAAAATTTATTTCTAAAATTAAATATATAAATGGGAAGTTTGCATTTTAATCCTAATAAAACATTTAAATTGCAAATCTCTAATTAGTTAATATAAAAGAAGCACATAACAAATATAGTCATGGAAGAAATTAACAATAATAGATTCAGACAAAAAAAAAGTAAGGGAAAATACATTTTAAAGGTAGTTGAAATACATATATTCAAAATCAGACCTATAAAGTTAACAAACCCTAATCATGTCTTTTGAATGAAATGGGATTTTAAAATTTAGGGTATTTTATCACATTTTACTCCCTTTTTTTTTTGGGATTCAAAGCTGCGTATGTCTGTGAGCAGCTACAACCCCTGTCTGCACAGAATTGTAGCACTGGCGGGCAAAGCTCTGATAATGGCAACAACCTTACTGTAAGAATTTTATTATAAATAGTTAACTGGAATTTGTGAATTCCTAAATTAGACTCGTTAATCTCTAAACCAATTTAATAATTAAATAACAACAAATATTTATTGAAAATTGAAATTTTATTGCAAAAAATTTTGTTGTGAATAACTAATTAAGACTTGTGAATGGATAAATTAAAACGGTTAACAATTCACAAGTCTCTATTAGTTATTCACAATTGAAGCTTTTATAATAAAGTTGCACTCCCCTCAATAAATATTTTTGTGAATCACAAGATAAGTTTAGAAATTAATAAGTCTAATTTAATAACTAACAACAGAACTTTTACAATAAAACTACCATCGGGACCGATGCTCCTATTGTCATTTGCTGAGATGGCTTTGGGGAATAGAAGAGGTGTTTTTTTTTTTTTTTGCGGGGATGGTAAATTAGCCAAATTATAAAACTTCATTTTGGTACATTGATTCCATCGAGTTATTTCATTTTGGTAAGTTTGAATATTTCAGCTGCTTAATTTGAATGTTTCGGCTGCTCTTTAAAATGAAGCACTTACTAGTGATTGGCCCTATTGATTCCATCTGCGCAATCAGCGATGATCCTTCAAAAGAAAAATATGCAACATTGATAAGACTATACAGGTACATATATTTAATACCCATAGTATGGCTTATAAATTAAATGTGAAGTTAGCATGCATTTTAATCATAGTAAAAATCAAAATCCCTTTTCTACTCGGCATGGAAGAAATTGGCAAGAACATACTCAGAAAAAAAAAAATAAAGGCAAAGCATTGGTTGGGGAAGGAGGCAAGAGCTTGAACTTGGAAGCACTTACCATTGATTGGCCCCTGTGATTCCCTCGGCCGAGTCGGTGGTGATGAGTAACTTTCGTGTTCGGATGTTCGTGCTGAAATTAGATCACATAAATGACAGTGTCATAACCATTGTAAAAGATGCTTTATTTACCAAGCATTCTGTTTTGGTAGGATAAATTACGCAACGTTATTGATAGGAATATTAAATGTATTTTTAAATAAATAAAGCTATGTGCATACATAAAAGCAGCGCACAAAGGAAAATAAAATAAAATAAAATAAAGGCAAAGCATTGGTTGGGGAAGGAAGCAAGAGCTTGAACTTGGAAGCACTTACTACTGATTGGCCCCCGTGATTCCCTCGGCCGAGTCGGTGGTGATGAGTAACTTTCGCCTTCGGATGCTGATGCTGAAATTAGATCGCACAAATTACAGTGTCTTAACTCATCGCAAAAGATGCTTTACTTGCCAGGCATTCTCTTTTGGTAATTATTAGTGGAAAAGAGAAAAGCAGCGCACAAAGTAAACAGAAAAAGTAAAAGCAGCATACAGGTACATACAGGTACGTACATAGATATCACTTAATTTTCCACCCTGACTAGATCAGATTTAACGAGTTAATATTATTTTCAGTTTCTCAAATTTTATTTTATTTTAATTTTCATTTTTGAAATTAGATATGAGCGGTTTTGAACTTTTGGTCCTTGAAACCATATTTCATGGGGAAAAAACACTGTTTTAGTATCAAAATTCTTTAATCAGAGTAAAATAAGGTTATATTTTACAGATCAAAAACAGTGTCATGGTGTAAAAATAAATGGGACTAACTAAAGGAAATGGGCCTGAAGCTCTTTTAATGGGTTCAAGCAGTTGGCATGCATATGGGACTTGGGGATGGGAATATGAGCAGAAGGGGAGGCAGTGCAGAGGCGTCCAAGGCTTCTCTTCCCTCTCTGTGACTCTTTCCTATGAAATTTTCGCCCTCTCTTTCCCCGCTGTGTCGTGATTTCTGTTATTTTCTCAGATTCCCTTGACTGTTCTTGAGTGCTACAACTGCTGCCGCCTTCATTACTTAATACTATCTCGCGTGTTTAATATAAAAACTAAATAACTAATTTAAAAATATTAAAAAATTAATTGAATTAGTTATTTGTAACAAATATATATTGATTTTTTTAAATTACTCTTATTTAATCACATACATTGAAACTACACTTAGATAAAAAAAAATACTTTACAATAGATAGGGATATTTTTAAAATACATCATAAATTTGGGAGACGAAGCGGATGTCTTATATTTAGAATTGCCAATTAACTCTTATATATAAGATCAGAGGAAAATACTTTATTTCCAAAGCATTCTATATATTTTGTCATGATAAGTCAAAAAAGGAAAATACTTAACACTGATAAGAATATATTAAATGTATTTTTATAAATAAAGCTATATGCGTACATATATTTAGAGGATGCTTGGCAAGATGAAAAAATATTTTTAAAAGTACTCTTTTGTAAAATGAGACAGATTCCTCCACATAGTTGCTTCGTATATCGTAAAAATATTTTTAAAATTGGTTTCTATCCAAACACTCTCTTAATACCTACGGATATGGCTTATAAATTTGAAGCTTGCGTGCATTTTAATCATAATAAAATCAAAATTCCTTTTCTAGTCCGCATGGAAGAAATTGACAAGAACATATTCAGACAAAAATAAGGCCAAAGCATTGGTTCGGGAAGGAAGCAATAGGTTGAACTTGGAAGCACTTACAACTCCTCGATAACGATGATCCTGCAGGACTTAAGGCTCCTTCTTCCTCTCCCTTTGATGCTGAAATCAGATAAGATAAATTACTAGGTCACATCATAAAACATACTTTATTTGCAAAGCATTCTGTATATTTTGTCATGATAAGTCAAAAAAGGAAAATACTTAACACTGATAAGAATATATTAAATGTATTTTTATAAATAAAGCTATATGCACGTACATATATTTAGAGGATGCTTGGCAAGATGAAAAAATATTTTTAAAAGTACTCTTTTGTAAAATGAGACAGATTCCTCCACATAGTTGCTTCATATATCGTAAAAATATTTTTAAAATTGGTTTCTATCCAAACACTCTCTTAATACCTACGGATATGGCTTATAAATTTGAAGCTTGCGTGCATTTTAATCATAATAAAATCAAAATTCCTTTTCTAGTCCGCATGGAAGAAATTGACAAGAACATATTCAGACAAAAATAAGGCCAAAGCATTGGTTCGGGAAGGAAGCAATAGGTTGAACTTGGAAGCACTTACAACTCCTCGATAACGATGATCCTGCAGGACTTAAGGCTCCTTCTTCCTCTCCCTTTGATGCTGAAATCAGATAAGATAAATTACTAGGTCACATCATAAAACATACTTTATTTGCAAAGCATTCTGTATATTTTGTCATGATAAGTCAAAAAAGGAAAATACTTAACACTGATAAGAATATATTAAATGTATTTTTATAAATAAAGCTATATGCACGTACATATATTTAGAGGATGCTTGGCAAGATGAAAAAATATTTTTAAAAGTACTCTTTTGTAAAATGAGACAGATTCCTCCACATAGTTGCTTCGTATATCGTAAAAATATTTTTAAAATTGGTTTCTATCCAAACACTCTCTTAATACCTACGGATATGGCTTAT